ATTAGTTCCAGTAGATTTCTTGTGGAGTCTTTAGGGTTTTCTATGTATAGTATCATATCATCTGCAAACAGGGACAGTTTAACTTCTTCATTACCAGTTTGGATGCCCTTTATTTCTTTTTCTTGCCTTATTGCTCTAGCTAGAACTTCCAGCACAATGTTAAATAGGAGTGCATCCAACCAAATTTTTATCCTCTACTACTGTCTTCTCTTCATGTCTTTTTTAAAAAAGAGAACTCATGTTTTCTGCTGCTTCTTTGAGAGTATACTGTTTGAAATCTTAGTCCATTTTTTTAAGTAATTCATCCAGTAATGTATGCTTTCCTTCTTTTTATTTTTCAGCTTCTACACTTAAGTGCCTGGTTCATTTCTAATTATTATCTAACCTTATTTTGAATCTGTCCAGTTATTTGTAAAAAATTAATATGGGGAGGAGAGAAGGGGAGCAAACTAGATAGTTTGATATTCTATTCAGATTTGCTGTTTCTAATACTCTTCTACAATATTTATTTCCCTTGTTTTGTGCATATTTCTCCTCACCGTTTTTAGGATTCAAGAGGATAGTGCCTCCCACAGCAAATCTCTACCGGTCTTATGTTCTTTGTATTGCTTTCCGGCACTCTTTCTCTCTCCTTCCTCCATGTTCTGCTTTACTTCCTGCAATCTCTTGTTACAAAAAATAAAAAATGGTATAGCATGGTTTTGCCTTCTTCATTCTTCCCATAGTACTGCAGCATCAACCTATTTTTCTCCAAAGGATATTCTTCACTTCTTATGTAGTCTGCCCCAACTCTACATTTTAGGGTTCTAATAAAACGATTATTAGATGGGCCTTTTAGGACTGTAACGCCCACTTTTCAGGCAATCAGTAGATCTTATGTGGTTCTCCACCTCCTCCCACCCCAAGTCCAGACTGTTCTATTTTTGGCAGGCATGCTTTTTCACCTGCTGCTCTTTCTTCCTCCTCTTCTTATTTTCTTTTATTATTTTAGTTTGCTTTTCTTATTACAAAAGTAACATGTTCAATCTAGAAATTTTCTAAAATACAGATCCGCAAAAAGAAGAAAATAAAAACCAGTCACTCCAGAGGTAAATTCTGATCATATGTCCTTCTAATCATTTTCAATGAATTTTTTTTTTTTTTACAAAAATGGAACCAAATGTGAATGTTATCTTGTAATTTGCTTTTATTTCACTTACCAGTAGATTATGGACAGCTCTGTATATCATGATCTGGTTTTACATATCTTATACTATTTTATTTGAGAGCCAGTATACTGTAGTCATTAAGAACACGTTTACTGTGGAATCAGACAACCATAGCCGTGCCACATTCTAGCTGTGTGACTAGGCAAATTACTCAATTATTTTTTGTCTCAGTTTCCTCATCTGTAAAATAGGGGAATTAATGGTATCCACCTCACGGGACTACTAAATGAGATAATACATGTAAGGCATTTAAAATAGGCCTAGCACATAGTGCTATGTTAGTTACTACTTTTTATTTTAATGACCACGTAATATTATAGCACATGGATGAGCCATACTTTATTTCAACAATCTCCTAGTGTCGGACAATTAGATATTCTTCAGTTTTCTACTCTTCTAAGCGATGCATGGATAAACAACCTTGAAGCCGAACAGTTGTTCTCATCTGGAAGGACAATGTTCCCCGAACTTGAATAATCAGTGGAATCATCTGGGAGGCTTTTTAAAGCACAGAATTCTTGGGCCCTACCCCAGACCGATTGAAACCAAAGTAATAGTAGCTTTCATTTATTGAGTGCCTGTTATATGCCCACCACAACACCAGGAATTCTACACATGGTATTTCATGCATCCCTGCAACAGTCCCAAGAGATACGTTATAGTTTATTATTCCCTTCAAAAGAGACATATAAAAAATAACACCTCCACTCCTTCCTCAGACATTAAGTAACTTGCCCAAAGTCACGTAGCCAGAGAGGGGAGAGCTATCATTTAAACCTG